GTTAACCCTCGTTACAAGCAACCCTTCTCCTATAGGCAAAAACTGCGTTTTCCTCCCATCGCTAAACCTCCACGACCCTCTAGAAAACGCGTTATACCCCACCACAACCGCCACACCGCTCCCAACGCCGTTTCTTGCGTTTTCTTCACGGTGATTAACGATCTTTTTAACGATCTCTTGGTGGTTGTCGAGGTTACAATCGACGAGGACGAAGTCGGCTTCTTCGAAATGATCATTAATTAGAGTGTCATCGTTAGATTCACCAACTACGAAATGTATCTGATGAATCTCTGATGGTTCCAACATTTTCTTGGAAATGATTAGTTCTTCGATGCCACGTAAAACGCATACCACTTGACCGCGTGTTTGGTTTGCCGCTGCGATTAGGGCAACGAGTATGTCAGCGTTTGCTGCTCCGGCGCAAGCCACAGCGATCTTTTTAGCGTTATTCCCGGCGGCTAGAGCTGATATGAATTCAGCCACGTTTGGTTCTTTTGTCCTTTGATCCTGCAAAAATGCATAAAGATATGTCAAAATGTGATACTAATTCAAGAAAAGAAAACCATAGAAAAACAAAAACCAATTACATATAAATTTGATAAAATCTTACCGTTTTCAAGGTACTAAGATAGGCTTTAGTAGCATTCTCAGCAGACCAGAAAGCCATTTTCTTTTTAATTAATTTGAGAGTCTTAGAAAAAAATCGAGTTTCTCTCAATCTATCTTGCTTAGAAAGATTTAAAATGATTGATGATGGTTTTGGTTTTAGGGGTGAAGGTTCTTTATTTATATATGGGGAGATTTGTGAATGGGACAAGATTCAAACAGGCTGGTCCAGTTATCTTTTCCTATTGATATATAAAGAGACGTGGAAAATAAAATAAAAAAATTTGGTCAAGTTGTAATAGTATTCAACATATGTATGTATATTAAAAGAGCGGATTGTCTCATTGTCGAGAGACTTATTATAGCTAATGTCACTGTTAATGTTCCTTTTCCTTAAGATCTCTAAATTGAGTTAGACTATATATGTTCAAGGGTTGACAGGGTTGTTCTTAGTGGCATTTAATAGTTAATCGACATTGTAGAAAATTTGCATCCCAATTCTTAATCAATAGAAAATATAAATTAGTGTTGTCCATAATCATAGTAGAAGTGAAGAGAAGTGAAATGTAATTATACGAATGATTACGAATTTTTGTTGTTGTTATATGTGTTTTAAAAATGCATTAGTCTACGGCAATGATTATTCTGTATAAACACATGACATGGTAAAATAAATATATTGGAAGTTTATGTTGTTGAATATATATATTGGAAGTTTTGTAACTATTTTTGTAAATTCCAAACACAAACATAGATACCAAAAAATGGCTCTTAAAATCATGGCCTAAATGCTGGTCACTAATTTGGTTGTTCGAAC